GACTCGATGGTACCTAACAACAACAACAATATAGGGCTGATAAGGAGCTCTGGTAGCATAGTGGTTACGAATTGGGCTGTGAACCGCAAGGCCAGGAGTTCGAAACTACCAGCTGTTCTGTGGGAGAAAGATGAGGCTTTCTGCTCCCGCAAAGATTTATAGCCTTGGAAACCCTGTACAAGGTCACTATGAGTTGGAACTGACTCCACGGTACATAACAACAACAACAACATAGGGCTGATCTTGCAAATCCCAAAACCCAAATCATTCAGGATTTAGTCACTACTTTGGAATGGAGACCTGGTGTGGCATAGTAGGATAAGCACTGGAATGCTAACCTCAAGCTTGGTGATTCAAACCCAACAACAGCTCCTCGGAAACCCCATATTAGGTCACTTTGTGATGCCATAGGATAAGCAAAGTCGTTTTGAATTGCAAGGTTGGTGGTTCAAACTTACCAGTTGCTACTTGGAAGCCCTATACAGTGTCACTATGAGTCAGAACTGAATCAATGACACTTAACAACAACAACAAATGAGTCTGAAATGACTTGTTGATATTTAATAACATTGGAATTGGCAGTGGAACTAAGATCATCCATTTTGAATATCTGAAGTAGCTTTTTGACCAGAATTAATGATCTGAACCAATATTTTAAACTTAGGGGTGGGGGGTGGGCGGGGGGAAAGCCTAAAGTGCTCAGCTTTTGGGAAATGTCTAGGAGTCAGGAATCAATGTAAAAAAAGGATACTAGACTGGAATAAGTAATATGCTAATCTTTACACATCTTTTGTATTCTAGGTAAGGTTATGGAGAATGTGATTGAAACTCTCTGATCTGTTCCTCTGCAGGTATGGCTGGGGAACAATTTATTCCTGGAGGACCTTACTTGACCTTATATGACTACAAGGGAGACCATTGGAACCAGCTCCTAGGCTGGCATCATTGCACTATGTATTTCTTCTTTGGGCTCTCTGGCGTGGCAAACGTCTTATGTCACATCTATCATTCACTTCCTGTCTCTTTAACCAAGTTAGCGATGTCAAATGCCTTTTTTGTGGAGGGTAAGTATGAGAGAGAATGAGAAAAAAGAAGGTGTGTGAGATAGAAAAATAAACAAGGGTAAGAGAGAGAGAGAATGAGAGGGAGAGATGATGTAAGAGACTAAGAAAAATCAAAAGAGAATGAGAGTTTGTACGAAAGAATAAGAGAGAGAGCAGAAATTTAGTAAGAAACATCATAAAAGAGAAACAAGGGTGGCCTTTAGTTCCATCGAAAAAGACAAACTTTTTTTCCCTCAACCCCCTTCTCTCAGCTTTTATCTTCTACAACCACACTCATGGCCGAGACATGCTGGACATCTATGTGCACCAGCTGCTGGTCTTGGTCATCACTGGGACAGGTCTAATCGCTCTCATCGATTTCATGAAGAGCAACATTATTTTGATGCTTTTGTATTCAAGCCTCGTCTGGCTTCAGGGGACCTGGTTCTGGCAGGTGAGTAATATATCTGGTATACCTGACTGTAACCTTCTTTCTATGTTTGGTGGGACAACTTGCTTTAGAATCCAGATACTTGACCCCACTGTACTATTTATAGTGAGAATATGGGTTTCTGACAGGTGATATTTCCATAGGTGGCCCAGCAGTAGCGATGGGATTGTTGACCAAGCAGGTGGAAAGGAAGTTGTTGTTGTTAAGTGCCATGGAGTCGGTTCCGACTCATAGCAACCCTGTACAGGGTTTCCGAGGCTGTAAATTTTTATAGGAACAGAAAACCTCATCTTTCTCCTGTGGAACCACTGGTAGTTTCGAACTGCTGACCTTGCGGTTCACAGCCCGATTCGTAACCACTACGCTACCAGAGCTCCTTGGAAAGGAAGTAGAGTGTACATATCTTCATCACACTCCCAAGTTTCTTTTAGTTGGAAGCATTTCATGACTCTGAAGCAGTTTATAGCCTTATAATAGGAAGCTCAAGAAATGTATATTAAGGCAACAACAAAAAATATACCGCTGTTGAGTCAATTCTGACTCAGAGTGATCCTACAGGACAGAATAGAACTGCTCTGTAGGGGTTCTAAGGCTGCAAATCTTTATGGACGCAGACAGCCTATCTTTTTCCCAAAGAGTGGTTGGTGGGTTTGAACTGCTGACCTGCGGTTAGTGGCACACTTGTACCACCAGGGCTCTTTAAGAACTATATTGTTGTTGTTAAGTGTCATCAAGTGAGTTTCGACTCATATTGTCCCTAGGGCTTCTGAGGACACAGGAGCAGAAAGCCTCATTTTTTTCCCACAGCATGACTGGCAGGTTCAAACCTCAGACCTTGTGATTATTGTATGCAGCCACCATGTTCCCTAAGAGTTATATGTTGTTGTTGTTGTTATGTGCCATAGAGTTGGTTCTAACTCATAGTGACCCTGTACAGGGTTTCCGAGGCTGTAAATCTTTATGGGAGCAGAAAGCTTCCTCTTTCTTCCGCAGAACAACTAGTAGTTTCGAACTGTGGACAGAGATAGATAGAAGGCAGAAAATGGTGGAAAATATTATTGATTAGTAAGCAACTGTGTGCCAGCCTCTGTACTGAAACTTATACATACACATTGTTTCACTTTGTCCTCACAACAATCTGGATATTAGATATTATCATCAGATAAAGAAGAGCCATAAAGACCACGTTACTTTCCTGGGATCATACAACAGTGGAGCTAGGATTCAAATGTGGGTCGGTCTGACCTCAAATCCCAAGCTCTTTCCCTAAGAAAGACCAGATTCCCTAACATTGGTATGCTGTGGAGAATATGCATTCCAATCAGTGAACATATATTGTATTTTTTGCTAGGTGTTTTTAAAGTTAGTTCCAACTCATAATGACACTATGCACAGCAGACTGAAACTCTGCTTGGTCTTGCAAAATATTTACAATATATTTTATAGAGACAGATAAATCATCATCCAGGATACATATGTGTTGTTGTTGTTAAGTGTTGTAGAGCTGGTTTTGAATCATAGAGATCCGGTGTAGGGTTTCCAAGGAGTGGCTGTTGAGTTTGAACTACTGACCTTGCAGTTCAAACAGACCTTTCGGTCCAGTGCATTATCCTGCAGTGCCACACCAGGACTCCTAGATACATATGTAGGTGTAAAGAAAATCTGGGATAGAAGCTGAATGTGTTTTAATTAAGAAAGACTTTTTAGAGAGATCTTTATCAAATGAGATCAGGGATTAGGGAAATGACATTGTTTCAGGGATTTGCATTTCAAATGAGGAGTGATCAGAAAGCCCTGGAAAATGAAAGGCAGAAAATCATCTTGGACAAATGGGAGATAAGGAAGATGTGATATTTAAACATGTAGGAAAGAAGAAAAGCTGTTGTGGAGGAGGCTAGTGACCATGGACTAGATTCAGTGGTTATTTGCAATAAATAATTACAAAGAAAAGAATCACAAATGTGATTTTCAACAATGTGTTAACTGTACCTAGTATATTTAGAGTCCTTAAGTAGGGTAAATGGTTATTGTGCTACAAAAGGTTGGAGATTTGAGTCCAGCCAGAGGTACCTTGGAAAAAGGCACCAAAAAATCAGCCATTGAAAATCTATGAACACAGTTCTACTTGGCTATATATGGGGTTTCCTGGAGTTGGAAACAACTCTACAGCAACTGGTAATGCACAAAAGTTGTTTTCTAGATATTTATCATCTGCTGGGAACCTAAATAAAGATCGAATAGTATGCAAAAAATTATAATACCCTTTGAATCTCTTGATCCACCATGTATCTGTCAGTTTGTTGTACTGTGGTGGCTTGCATGTTGCTGTGATTCTGGAAGCTATGCCACGGGTAGTTTAAATACCAGCAGGGTCACCCACAGTTGACTGGCTTCAGCTAAGCTTCCAGATAAAGACAGACTAGGAAAAAGGAGAATAGGACTACTTCCAAATATTTAATAACTGAAAACCTTATGAATAGCAGTGAAACACTGTCAGGAAAAGAATATTGATGTTGAAACATGATGAAGAGCACCAGGATATTGTCAGATTGTCAGATAGTGCCAGAAGAGGAGCCCCTCAGGTTGGAAGGGACTCAAAATGCGACTGGGGAAGAGCTGCCTCCTCAGAGTATAGTTGACCCGGATGATGGCAATGAGTAAAGCCCCTGGGACCAACATTTGCTGATGAGGCATAACTCAAAATGAAGAAAAACAGCTGTGAACATCCATTATTAATCAAAACATGGACTGTATGAAGTAAGAATCTTAAAAAATTGGAAATTGAAAAATGAAATGGAATGCATAAATATTGATATCCTAGGCTTTCATGAGCTGAAATGCACTGGTGTTGGCCATTTTGAATCTGACAATTACAGGGTTTACTATGATGGGAATGACAAATTGAAGAGGCATGGCATTGCATTCATCAACAAAAAGAAAATATCAAGATCTGTCTTGAAGCACAATGTGATAGGATAATATCTATTTGCCTACAAGGAAGACCAGTTAATACCACTATTTTTGTAAATTTACACACCAAACTTTGAAGCCAGTGATGCTGAAACTGAAGAATTCTACCAACTTCTTCGGTCTGAAATGGATCAAATATACAATCCAGATGTATTGATAATTACTGGTGATTGGTATACAAAGGTTGAAAACAAAGGATCAGTAGTTGGAAAACATGGCCTTGGTGATAGAAATTATGCTGGAGATCTCATGATAGAATTTTGCAATGACTTCTTAATTGTAAATACCTTTTTTAAACATCATAAAAGATGACTATACACATGGACCTCACCAGATGGAGTGCATATAAATCAAATTGACTACATCTGTGGAAAGATGAAGAATACACATAAATCAAATTGACTACATCTGTGGAAAGAAAATGAAAACAAGTCCACAAGAACCAAAATATGACTTTGAATGTATCCCGCCTGAAGTTAGATAGCATCTGAAGAACAGATTTGATATATTAGAAACTAAAGACCAAAGGCCAGAAGAATTGTAGGGTGAAATCAATAACAGCATACAGGAAGAAAGCAAAGAGATATTTTCCCAACATGTACTCACTTTGTGTCTCTTGTCACATTTTGGAAATTCTCACAGTATTTAAAACTTTTTCATAATGATATTGCACACTTACTAGACTACACTGTTATATAAGTACTACTTTTATATGCACTGAGAAACAACAAAAATATGTGGCTCTCTTTATTAGAATTCGCTTTAGTGTGGTGGTCTGGAACAATAACATGGTTTTTCATATGATCTCTCACTTCTGATGTTGTTGTTAAGTACCGTGGAGTTGGTTCCGACTCATAGCGACCCTGCACAGGGTTTCTGAGGCTGTAAATCTTTGCGGGAGCAGAACGCCTCATCGTTCTCCCTTGGAACCACTGGTAGTTTCGAACTGCTGACCTTGAGGTTGGCAGCCTGACTCGTAACCACTATGCTACCAGAGCTCCTTTCTGATAGAGGTCTGTTAAAGTTTTATGTGATGTTATTTATATGATATTTATGGATTTATGCCTATATTATGGATTAAGTATAAAAATATATGAAAAAAATTTTAAAGGAGATTAATTTTGGCTAAGATGGTATGGTGAGTTTATGCTTTAAGTGTACCTATTGCACCAAACACATAGCAATGATGAATAACATGAAAAAAACACACCAAAAAACCTTGCAAAATAAAAAATACGTTATTTAAATAAAAAGTAAGAAAGTGAAAAATACCAAGTTACAATGAAACAAAACAAAACAAAAACAAGGAAAACCACCTTGTAATCCAGGAAAAGAACAGAATATGCATTTATGCACAGCAGGAGGAGGGCAGGCCTGCTGGCTCCAGGTCCAGTAGACAGTGGTGACTGGTGTTTGGAACTAACCAACTGCTGTTAAGTAGATTCGAATTCAAAGAAATCCCTTAGAGGAGAACTGCCCCATAGTTTCCAAACTGGTGTGGCACTGCAAGTTAATGCACTGGACTGCAAGGTCGGTTTAAATTGCAAGGTCAGCAGTTCAAGCTCACCAACTGCTCCTTGGAAACCCTATGAGTCAGAACTGACTTGAAGGCACTTAACAACAACAACAATCTTTACAGAAGCAGACTACCAAATCTTTCTCCCAGGGAGCAGCTGGTGGGTTTGAACCACCAGTCTTTCAGTTTGTTTCCAAGCACTTAATCATTGTTCCCCAGTGCTCCTTCTATGGAGCTAAAAGAATGTGAAACGGATCCTTTCAATTAGTGATGATTCCAGGCTTTTGAGCCTCTTAGATTCCCCTCCCATCCCCTGGGGTCCTGGTGTGGTGCTGTAGGATAAGCGCTGGACTGTTGTCCACAAGGTCAGTGGCTCAGACTCACCAGCAGCTCCTAGGAAACTCTATACAGGATTGCTGTGAGTCAGAACCAGCTCGTTGGTAGTTAACAACAACAATAATAGATTTTCATCTGATTGATCCCTTACTTTCTGATAAAGTTCTGTTACATTTATATG